GGTGAAGGAGTTAGACGTGAAGAGCCTCTGTATTGCCCTGGAAACTCTGCTGGTACACACTGGAGGTAAGAGAAGAGTAAAACACATGATACTGGAGGCAATACTATACAGCTGTATTAAATAAGAATAAGGGAAGAAAGCTGGGAACTTGGAGCTCCCATATATTGGAAGCTTTGTGATAACCCTGAGGTAAGGAGATCAAAGCAAATAATTAAAAGTTGTTGTTGTTGTTTTTAATACTACACGGTTATCATTTCTTAGAGGGTTGAGTTTTGCTTTAGAAGTAAAAAGGAACTGTTATATGTCAGGGGAAACGGACAACATAACTCCTATGCGTTTTGTTCAAACGGTCCAGTAAGAGACATGATGGCTTCTTTTGCTTTCTTTTTGGGTTTTCTTTATAAGGCCCCTGTGGGAACCATGGTCCCTGTTCCACTGCTGCATGGGGTGGCTAGCAGATAATCTGGAAATAAACATTATTCACTAGCAGACTTATTGGGAGGGGTGGGAAACAGATGCACGATTTTCTGTCTTCTGTTGTTGGGATGATACTCTGCTATGGCTTCCTTGGGTTTCTAAGAGGGAGAAGTAGCCTGATTCTTTCAAACAAGGATTTAAATGATGTAAAATTTGTTGAGCTCATGAATTATCATATACATACGTACTCCTAACATTGCACCAAACTGATAGATGTCTGAATAGGAAAAAAAATAGTTTTTAAGACTATAGCATGTTAAAAAAAATGGGATCATGTTCCTTTTAAAGTGTACAGGCCAAGTTATTTTATTGATGAATTTTTCTGTTTTTCACTTTCTTTGAAACAGTTATCCTTCAAGTTTCAAGGACGAGTTTTGCAGAGTCACAGAACGTTTTGAGCACACCCAAAAATATGTTTCATGAGATATGAACCATCGTGCAATACCAAGGTATCGCTGGTGTTCAGGTTTAAAATAGAACTCTGGCTTAGAGATATTCAGCAGGACCCTGCAATGTTGGTTTCACTAGCGCCGCTTAACAACAAAGAAAAAGAAGCTATTAAGTATCCCTGAACATTTTTTCCGAACTTATTAGTTTATGTACCTGTTTTTTTTTTTTTTTTAGGGGAAAACATACTGTCATCTACCTTTTCAAGAATAAACTAATGCCTGTCTTAAAGGTTTTGTGAAGGTCACATTAAGCATTTCAAGCAGTTTGACATATGGCAAATGCTCAGTAAATGTTATGTTAAGGTATCATTATCCATGAAGTTTGTGTTTCAAATAAATTTTATTTATTTATTTATTTAACGTTTATTAATTTTTGAAAGACAGAATATGAGTGGGGGAGGGGCAGAGAAAGAGAGAGTCACACAATCCGAAGCAGGCTCCAGGCTCTGAGCTGTCAGCACAGAGTCTGATATGGGGCTCGAACCCACAAACTATGAGATCATGACCTGACCTGAAGTTGGACACTTAACCCACTGAGCCACCCAGGTGTCCTGAAAATAAACTCAAATGGTAAAATATTTATTGAATGCATAATTGTACTACGGTGCTGTGGTAAGAAAAAAGAAAAAAAAATCAATCTTGTTTCTGCTAAGACCTTACAATCTAAGATATATAATGCCAGTGTTCACATTTATGCAGGCAGGAAAGTGAAACAAATCATTGTTATAATCACAACCATGTCATTTAAGGAGAAGAGACAGTTTAGGAAGGTTTATGGATCTAGAAAGCACCTGGAATTAGAAAAGAGAATTCTCTTTTCAAAGAGAATATGTCAAAATGATCAAAACTTTCTGGGTTTAAAAGTCAATAGAATGAGTAATTCTGAAAAGAATGGCTATGCTTCTGTCTGTTTAATAGTCATTTAATATCTAAAAAGTAGTGACTTCTTACTTTGAGGAAATTTTTTTCCTGGTAAATTGTATGCACTATAACTGGCACTTAAGAGTTGTGCAACACTTAACTTGTAGGGTGGTTCCGTTATTAGCTGTTAAGTACAAATGGTAAGAATATTTTTCATAACACTCTGAGTCTCCATATGCTTTCCATCTAATTCTCTAAGAAAGGAAAGAAAGCAAGTCAGAATTATGAGAGGGGAAGGGTTTTTTTCCAATTACAAAACCTACGGTGAGTGAGTGTGACGGATATCTAAAACATGAGGAAAATTAGTTGATCACTACTTCCTTTTATCATTGAGATCCAGTTTTTCTAACTCTATTGTCTTCAAAACAAACCTACTTTTTTCAATTTAATCCCAAGTAACACTTCAAAGCTATTTAGGAGAACTGAAATTGTAAAAGGCAACTGATTTCGTTTTGTACATCTAATCAGTGAAAACACATATTGTAACATTCCAGTGACAAAGGATAAGAAATACTACCTTTCCTGTTTTTCACAACAAAAAACTGAGATGGCAAAAAGAAACATAGGAACAGACTTTAAAAGGTACATATTTCTCAGGGCATTTAAAGAGGATTGTCTCTAGAACTCTATGCTGCTTTGTGGATAGCAAGTAAGGAAGACTTTGTCACAGGTGATGTTAATCAGAGCTGCCTTTTTATTGAGCACCTCCTTGGTGCTGAGCACACCCTACATACCTCATTTCACACAAATGTCAAGGCATTTTTGCAAGGTAGTTATTCTTTTCTTTTTTTATCTTTATTTTTGAGAGAGAGTGCGAGCAGGGGAGGGGCAGAGAGCGAGGGAGACACAGAATCCGAAGCAGGATCCAGGCTCTGAGCTGTCAGCACAGAGCCCAATGCGGGGCTCGAACCCATGAACCATGAGATTGTGACCTGAGCCAAAGTCAGATGCCCAACTGACCAAGCCACCCAGGTGCCCCTCAAGGTGGTTATTCTTATCCTCCCATTACAGGTAAGGAAACTGAAGTTATGTGAATAAACAAGCAAGGGTTCAAACTCTGGATCCAAAATTGATTCTCTTTCCATACCATGCCAGACTAAGCCTTTCTATCGCTACGAATAATGTCATTTTAAATATTAAGAAAAGCATCATGGAATAAGAGCACATTTTTTCAGGCCTCACAGGAGTTACAAAAATGAATTAAAGTCCCTGCTCCCAAGGGATCTCAGTTAAGTAGGGGATAGAATTTAGATCATAGTAAATGCAACGCAAGATGCACAGGTGCTGTGAGAATTCAGACCACATGTTTCATTCTAGAGACTGAAAGTGGGTTACCAGTTAGTTGCCAGTGCACATATTCTAGCTGAACAGAGCTGAGGGCATAAGCTTAGATAGATACCTGTTGACACAAGAACAGGTTCATGCATGATTTTGGGTAGAATTTGTATTGATTTTTGCTTGGATGACATGTGGCTCTTAGGAGTTTCTTATGAGAAATGTGCTACATTTGATAAGACAAATGCTTAGAATAAACCAGAAGGCTCTTGCTCCACTACTGTATATGAATATCACTAAAATAGCCCTTACACCATGGCATTCCTCGGTTCCCCATGTTCTTCGCAAGTGTCTCACCTTTCTCCATTCTTTTCCCTTTGCATGGCCCCTCTGCTCACACCTACATGGGCAAATACCCAGGCCTGGAGGATAGAATTTTCTAATCAGCATCACTCCCACCCCTGATTCTAGTCTCAATTTTAAGAAATTCAATATAAACCATTCATGTTGGCTTCCAAGGTAAGATTTCTTTACTATCATTATAGGCTGGTTTAATTATAACAACATGAAGAGAGTAAAGGTAATTTCTTCCTACAAACATTAAATTGAAATGTGAAAAGTCCACAGATCGAAGTACAGAGAAATTAACTGGAAAAGTTCCAGGAGTGTAAAGCAATTCATACTTTCATTATTCTCTGAATTCTCTTGCTCTTGCTGAGATGGTACAGTCACTCTAGTCTCTTGTCTTTGACTCGTAAATTGCGTTAGCAACAAACCTAGTCTGTTCTCTCTTGGTTCAACATTTTATTTTTATTGGAAAAAGTACATTTAAAATTGCCTTCGTGCAAAAAAATGAATAAAAAAATTGCCTTGGTGCTTGAGTCATTCCTTTGATTAAATTAACCCAATAATACTGTTAAAACTACCTTAAAAAATACATACTAACAGAAATATCCTATTCTTCTTTTCAGCTGAATGATCAATTTAACAAAGTAACACTCTCAGAAAAAATGTGTATGTTAAGATTTAGATTTCGTAATTTATTTAAAAAAAAATGTAAGCTGCCAAGCCCAAATGTGTACATAATATTATTTACTTAACTATCACAATGAAAAGCCGTATGGATTTGTAGTAATTTGGAAATAGAATATCACAGGAGGGCACTTCTTTGTTTTTATATTGCCTTTTAAATTTTACTATAAATGAGTGAGAGCTATGTAGTTACAAAGCCTTAGTCTCATGTCTAGAAATTTCCTTTGGATTATTTAAGCTAATTTCCAAAGCTTTATTAAGAAGAGAATGTGGGACTGGATGGATTAAAGAATTCAATTGAGAACACAGCACAAATTATTAAAATATTCACCTGCTTGTCAAATTGGCACATCTTACTGAATTTATAGGGTTATTAACTCTGCAAGGTAAAGTCATTAATTCCTTTCTTTGTCAGGACACTGTGACCTCTTACATAAATAACTCTTCCAGTGGAACACAATGCATCTGTCAGTGCCCTGAAAGAGTTAATGCTCGACTGTCAGACAAACTCTTTTAAATAGGTCATTTACACACATGAAGCTTCCTTTTAACATGGGAGAAACTTTTTGTGTTGTTTTATGTATGAGAGAAGGAATGTGAATGTCATTTTATACATCTATATCTACGTTACATATAACTCATGATTTTATGCATGTGTGTATGGAAGGCATCTCCAAACACAAGGTTTACTCATGTGACTAAAATATCATCATCATCATCATCAGTGTAATCCCCTATCTTGCAATGAGGGAAATATTAGGATTTCAGGTCCCTTACTATATGTAAAACAATGACAAGATGCAGAAGTTTGGAATGAGAACTTAGATTTCATCTAGATGTGACAAGCCTTTCATTCGACAGCACGATCATTAAAGTATAATAAAATAGAATAAATCACTTGTAAATAACTGCGGATGAAGCCAACCAAAGTTTGGGGATCAGAATTCCAAATCAATTAATTATAAAAATAATGCTAACACACAAAGGCAAGCATGAAAGAAAATATTTGTTCTACATTTTGAAATAGACACCTAATGAATACAGACATTTTCCATCACTGAGTCACTGGACTCATTACAATGAAATTTTCATCCTGAAGTACGTACAGCTTAGGAAGGTATACGCTATATTGGAGTGTGTAATTCACACATTCATTTTTCACTTGACTGAAGTCTTGTGTCTTTGACTTCTTCCAAAATCTGGCTTGATGAGCAGATTCTCATGAATTACTGTTCTGTAGAAGGATTATAGAGGGGAAAAAAAGCAGTAGTATGGGGCATAGTTATATTTAAGCACAATAGGAAATGAATACATAAAATATACTTTAGAATTCTACATTCTCACAGAGTTGTTCTTGAACATAATTATTAGGGAATGAAAGGAATTTTCTTTCAGATTAGCACTATTAGAATAATATGTAGAGAAAGAGAGAATTTTTTAGAAAATCTATTCCAAAAGCCTTAGATAAGGCACAAACGTAATTACTCTGCTCCTAATTTCTACAGAGATGAGAAACTAATACAGAACTTGTGTAGGAGCCGAGTACAGTGGGAAGGCAGCAAATGATAAGTGAGTTGAATTAACACATATGTGTTTGAATCTAAAGCAACCTCCCTAGTCTATAATCTCTCTTGAGAATAACTTTTTTCTTTGGACATAAACAAGAAGAAGTCTGTACAACAACTCATTGCTAAATTTCTCTCTGATACTACCACATGGGAAAAGGATGTTGGATTGGTCTCCTTCATCAAATCTGACCCTCCACCTTTCTTGGCTAGAAAGTTGGATTTATGTTACTGCTGGAGAGTGTGTTAAATGGATGAGAAGAGTTTTGCTCTTATTAAAACAGAGTGTTTTCCACAGTTTTCTTCTATTTGGGTATAATGGGAACTGTGTATCCCAAACATTTTCCCGTGAGAAATGAGCTGATGGAGTCACATGCGCCCACCACCATGGACAGCGAACTCCGACTCACTTATTCTCCTTCCCCACCAGGCATAAACAATGTGCAAGTTCAAGGGGGGTAAAGCAGTTCATACTTTACACTCTAACATTTCTAGTTCTTGTTAAGAAGGCATTGTCACTCTACCGTCTCTTATTGCCTTTGACTTGTACATTTCTTTGTAGCAGGATTCTATGAAAACAGGACTAAAACATTTTTTAATAATTATGTGTGTTTCCCAATGTTTCCTGTGAGATGGATCAGATTTTATAACCCATTTCACTAACTTACTAAGACACATTTAATAACCTCATTTGCACAAATAGGGGGAAATAAAAGAAGCCTGAAATTTGGCTCATCTGACTTGCCACTGGTTCTTTTCACTGTCTTTCCATATATTTGAGACATGAATTGAGAACCAAAGCATTAATCTTGCTAATATAGAAATGCACATAATTCCTTGAGTACAGCATATTCTGTCTTCTTCCATGCCTTTTGTCATATTGTCCTTCAGCCTGGAACTGCCTTATCTTGCCCTGGGTAATGTTCATCTCTCTTTTAAGATGGGCCCCAGGTGATTCTGTCTCCAGAAGCCTCTGCTACCTGCTCCAGTCTCTTTAGATGGTATTGCCCCTAATACCTTAAAATTTGTTCACTACAATGACCACCTTTCACTAGATTCTCAGCTTCTAAAGGATAGAGACATTAACTGGTAAATCTAATTAAGTGTGGTGCCTAGCCCACAGTAAGCATTTGGTAAATATTTGTTACACTTAAACTAACAATGGTATTTTAATGTGCTTTGGTGGATTAAATTGTCCCAAACTTTTGCAGACTATTGTACAGAGAGACTCAATATTGTATAGGAAGAAATGGCAGAGGAAATGCTAAACACTAAATTTGTCACCAAAATATATCAGTAGTTAAAAGCATATAGCAATAGAGTAACAAACAAAATTAGGCTTTGGGTGGTAATTGCTCCATTTTAGAAATAGCATCGAAACATTTTTTTGAAACCATGCACAATGTAGATTAAAAAATACACATGTTAGTTCCACCTGCAAGTTTTATAACAAGGTAGCCTAAGTAAATTAAGTAAATCTGGCACATGACTGAAAACTTTGTTAAGTATAGGCAGATTGGGTTTTATTAATCCTTTTAGCTGAGAACTTTGTATATGCCATTTAAAAAATTTTTAAATGTTTATTTATTTACTTTTGAAGGAGACAGAGACAGAGCACAAGCGGGGGAGGGACAGAGAGAGAGAGAAGGAGACACAGAATCCGAAGCAAGCTCCAGGCTCTGAACTGACAGCCCAGAGCCTGATGCAGGACTTGAACTCATGAACCATGTGTGACATCATGACCTGAGCTAAAGTTGGATGCTTAACCGACTGAGCCACCTCGGTGCCTCCTGTATATGCCATTTACTCTACATAGCATGACCTTCCTGGGACTAAGTAATTACGTGACAACCATGGTTAATCTTTAAGAGCAATCCACAAGATAACCTGACAAGGCAAGTCCTGCTTATAGGTTATGTAGCTGGAGCAAATCTTTAAAACTTCCTTTCCTCACTCCAAAGTCTAGGAAACCTAGCAAGGCCTTTGAAGATAGGTGCTTGGTCCCAGGTTAAAACTAGAATCCAAAAATTTACAGGTCTTCAGTTCTGTCGTAATTTTTTATAATTATGGAAAAACCCCAGTCAGTTTTGCAGAAGGCAGAGTCAGGTCCTCTTTGCTCGAGTCTTAAAGCCCATTTCACAGAGATTTGTTCTTGGTGGACATCTCCCAAAATAGACATCGCTTGGGTTTATGCTTCAGGCAACATTTAATAGGAACTATGCACTTAATTATAGAGGTTATACAAGAGGCCATAATGAAAAAAATAAATGAAATTGGCTTGGTATTTAAACCAATAGCTCAGGCTGCAAGCACTCCTCGGCTCTTATGAATTAATTGCTCTCATGCTGGTATAGAGGCTCCAGCATTGTTACAGTTTATATTTTTTTCTGTAAGGGAGCATTAATATTTGGATGTTTTTTAATGTACAAATCTCCCACTTTTTAAAGTTGGCAATGAATGCTGTTTTAAAAAACCACTGTGTGGGTTAATACTGTTCTATGTAGGGGTACCTGGGTGGCTCAGTCAATTTAGCATTTGACTCTTGATTTTGGCTCAGGTCGTGATCTCAGGGTCTTGGGATCGAGCCCTGCACGGGGCTCTGTGCTGAACATGGAACCTGCTAAAGATTCTCTCTCCCTCTGCCCCTCTTTCCTGCTCAGGTGATATCTCTCTCTTAAAAAAAAAAAAATATGTTCTTTGTGAAAAAAATTGACCTGCAGTTTTCCACATGTGCTATGTGTATCTACATAGCACCTGCAAGTGGAAAAACAGGGGGCCACGTGACTAGCCAGTTGTGTAGAGGAGGTCATTTGCTCATGGAGCCTACATTACTTATTAGAGCTAACAGGCATGAGCACTTACTATGGCCAAGAACTGTTCTCAATGCTTTACTTGTTATAGCTCATTTAATCCTCGTAAAATTCCATGAGGTCGACATTATCATTATGTCATTATTAAATTATCTCCACATTAACTACCATTATCTCCATATTAGTAGCTTCTTCATGGTTACGTAGCTAGTAAGTGTTGGGAGTATGGATTCAAACCCACGTCTGGCTGCAGATCAGGGGTTATTAAATTGTATCCTCTATAGGGCCTCCTAGATATAACTTTGTAGTTTGGAAAATGAAAAGTATACAGAAGATCTTAAATTTTGCTTTTAGTTATAGTATGTGTTTTATCTTGTTTTTTAAAATGTTATTTATTTATTTTGAGAGAGAGAGAGAGAGAACACAAGCGGAAGTGGGGGAGGGTCAAAGAGAGAGGGAGAGAGAGAGAATCCCAAGCAGGCTTCCCACCGGCAGTGCAGAGCCCAACTCGGGGCTCCACCTGAGCAACCGTGAGATTATGACCTGAGCTGAAATCAAAAGTCAGACGCTTAGCCAACTGAACCACCCAGGTGCCCCTGTTTTACCTTTTTTTTTTTTTTTTTAAATACTTTGTGCCTAAGGGATAATTTCATTATGCTGAAGACAAATGTTTACATAAAAAAATCTCACAGAAGTAGCATCGATAAAATAGAATACAAATGAATCTTACTTGGGCACACCTCTCCCAAATCAGAAGTAACTAATTTTTTCCCTCACCAAAACGCAGAAGGCATTAAGAATATTAGCACCAACCTGGATTTCTTGTTTCTACAGAACTTTCAGGATCTGCGTCCTCTGGTTGTGCAGTTTGCACGGGAGATGGAGTTTTCTATGAATAAAAACCAGATAAATATTAATGCCACAATTTTCTAAAGTTAAGACCTTATAAAGAAAATGCCTCAAGTTAAAAATATTTTGGGGGGTGGGGCTCCTGGGTAGCTCAATCGGTTAAGCTCCTGACTTTGGCTCAGGTCATGAACTCGACGTCCATGAGTTCGAGCCTCATGTAGGGCTCTGCGTCGGGCTCTGTGCTGACAGCTCAGAGCCTGGAGCCTGCTTCGGATTCTTTGTCTCCCTCTCTCTCTGCCCCTCCCCTGCTTGCGCTTCTCTTTCTCTCTCAAAAATAAATAAACATTAACAAATTTTTTTAAAATATTTTTTGGGACTGAAGTTTGTTTCCTTTTGATTAATATGTGCGTTGTAGAGGTTACTTTTGGAAGAATTTATGGTTTCATAGATATCTACAAACTTTGATTTCAATTTGTATTTGTCTTTCTAAATAGTATTTGATGTTTCCATAGGTGAATTATTACCCCAAACATTGACTCTCATATTTCCATGCTGTAATGAAAAGCTAAAATGGAAATTTTTTTAAAAAGAGGTAAGGGAGCCCCTGGGTGGCTTAGTTGGTTGAGGGTCAGACTCTTAATTTTGTCCCAGGTCATGATCCCAGGGTCGTGGGATCCAGCCCTGCATCGGGCTCTGCAGAGTGTGGAGCTTGCTTGAGATTCTCATCCTCTCTTTCTCAGATTAAAAACAAAAAAGAAGTAAGGTCTCTTAGCATAATGGACATGATCCAAGTTTTCTATATACAAATAGAATATTTTCTCTGAATTTTGCCAACTAAGTATTTTATTGATTTTTTTTTAGGTTTTAGATCGCCAGCCAAGAGAGAAGACAATTCATTTTGCCATATATGCCCAAATACAAGGAGATGATTTTCTCCCAATATTTATCCTGCAGACAAGAGGAGTCATCTTGCATTCAAGTCTTTACAAAATTTCTCACATTACAACAGGCACTCTCAATTACTTTTATTAAGAAGTATTATTTAGACAAGATACATTTACATGGAGTGTTTATAATCCATCATAGGTTTGGATCATTACAGAAGTCACCTAATAGAAGTCCTTAAAAAAGAAAAAGGCAGGGGTGCCTGGGTGGCCCAGTCGGTTAAGTGTCCAACTTGGCTCAGGTCATGAGCTTGCCGTTTGTGGGTTCGAGCCCTGCGTCTGGCTCCATGCTGACAGCTCAGAGCCTGGAGCTTCAGATTCTGTGTCTCCTGCTCTTCTCTCTGCCCTTCTCCTGCTCACACTTTGGCTCTCTCACTCTCGCAGAGAAAATAAATAAATAAATAAACATTAGAAAAAAAAGAAAAAAAGAAAAAGGCAAAGGAACTTAATGTGAATTTACTATCAGTCTTGTTACACCCCTGTCATAGCAATGTTGTAACCCTTCTAAATAAGCCTTTTTAAAAAATATATATAGTGGTTATGGTGTGGAGATCACAGAGATCAAGAGCAGAGGATGAATGAGAACTCAACCGTACCATTCTTTTGTGACTAGGTCTTTAATGATCACAGTTCTAATTATAGCATCATAGACACACACAAATGTATCTTAAACATCTTAAATAGAAGGGGCCCCTGGGTGGCTCAGTCCATTGGGTGGCTGACTTCTGCTCAGGTCATGATCTCACGGCTCGTGAATTCAAGCCCCGAGTTGGGCTCTGTGCTGACAGCTCAGAGCCTGGAGCCTGCTTCGGATTTTGTGTCTCCCTCTCTCTCTACCACTTCCCTGCTCACACTCTGTCTTTCTCTGTCTCAAAGGTAAATAAACATTAAAAAAATTTTTTTTAACATCTTAAATAGAAAGTTATAGTAAAGGTTATGTGCTTTGGAATGCTGTATCATATGGACATAAAGTTAGCTTTTGTGATGAAGAAAAGAAAGTCACTCATGCTGGAAAACACATAGATGGAGTTTGAAAAATTTGTATAAAGAAATATGACAATGAAAACCAGCAAAAGTGTTAAACATATGTAAATATATCATGTTATTTTAAATATTTTGCACACACAAGTTAAAGTATATACTACAATTAGAAATATGACTCTTTCATCTCTATGCATCAAAGTATATTAAGTCAAGTGAGACAAAACTTTATAAAATTTTTCATTGGGAAATGGAGGATAGTTTTATATTTCAGCTTCCTCTATAAGGCAAATGCAAAAAAAAAAAAAAAGTGTCCAGTTGAAAAAGATGGAATGAAATTTTGTTTCTCTTTGACTTGAATTGCACTCAGAGGAAGCGCACTTATAGCAAAATTAAAAACTGAATCTCACCTTTGTTAGTCGTTTAATACAGAAGGCAATTGAGAGGATAGTTCCGATGATACCAGCCATTACTGCATACACAATCCCTGTTATCTCTGTGGGAGAAAAAGAGAGCAGAAAATTGCAAAAATATGCAATAAGCTACGACAAAGCAACTGAAAAATAAAACAGGTAAAATCATGGTAGTATCACTTTGCGTTTTTACAGAAAATATATTAATATACTTTTAAGTATATCTTATATTTTAGAAGATTAGGTTTCCACAGTAACCATGTGGGAGACTGGAACTTTGAGTGCTAAAGTCTTTGTCCAAGGTCACACATCTAATGACAACCAAGACTCAAGAGTTCCAACTCACCTCCATTGTTCTACAGGACCTCACAGGCATAATTATGGATAAGAGCTATGTGGACATTCTACCTTGATATGGAAAAACCCCACAAACTCTTTCATAGTTTCAAAGTTATGAGAGAAAACAATTCCTAAACTATACTATATGCTAATATAATATATAATGTGCACACTGATTAGTATATTTCTAATGTAATAGACAAACTATATGACATTGTAAATATGCTAAAAATATTTTTCAAATCTTTTACTTGTTGAGAATGAAACACAATTGAAGTTACAGCTTCTTGCGTATTCATTCATATTTGTACTGCTTTCAAATGAGGTAAATAAAACTGAAGGCAAGACATAGAAGTAAAATGGCATATCTATTTGGCTAATTTATACTTAAAAGACTTATTATTGATTGAAAAAAAGGTAAAAGTGTTTTTTCCTGTCCCTGGTGTTGTCCAGCTTCCTGTCTATTTAGCTTTAATTCATGAATAGGGATTCGGTTCTACCATCCATTTTTCTTGTGCGAAGTAGGGATACAGGCCAAGTGTGAAGGGAGGCTGAGAAATGCAGAATAGTGAAGGAGCACATGAATCAACTAAAGCCAGGTCCACAGCAGCACCTAAGAAGTGGGGGTGACGGTCCTCCAGTCATAGAGGGTTGGGAGGATAACCCCAAAGTGGTAGCGTAGGCCCCAAAATAAATCAGGATTGAGATATAAATGGTCTATGTTTATTCTTGATGTGGTGCCAATTAATCAGATGATTTTAAGCTCCTTGCTTGCTTTACAAGTAGGAAACAAGGAAGTTCAATTGTTTTATAAGCTCTTATGAGACTTTGCTCAAGTACCCATGGTTGGTTAGAAGGCTAAAATATCTAAATTAAAAGAAAAATTAATATCAGATTATGTATTGCTAGTTCCAAAATGTTTAGGAAAATAAGAAATGCATATTTTAATTTTAAAAAGAGCATATGTTGTTTGCCTTTACAGTTTTGTATGATGAGAGTTAACAACATATGCTCTTCTGATTTAAAAATTGATGCTTTTTGGGGGCACCTGGGTGGCTCAGTCGGTTAAGCGTCCGATTTCAGCTCAGGTCACGATCTCACGGTCCGTGAGTTCGAGCCCTGCGTCGGGCTCTGGGCTGATGGCCCAGAGCCTGGAGCCTGCTTCCGGTTCTGTGTCTCCCTCTCTCTCTGCCCCTCCCCCGTTCATGCTCTGTCTCTCTCTGTCTCAAAAATAAATAAACGTTAAAAAAAAATTAAAAAAAAAATTGATGCTTTTTGGGGCACCTGGGTGGCTTAGTTGGTTGAGTGTCTGACTTCAGTTTAGGTCATGATCGCATGGTTCATGAATTTGAGCCCTGCATTGGGCTTGCTGCTTTCAGCATGGAGCCTGCTTTGGATCCTCTGTCCTCCTCTCTCTCTGCCCCTCCCCTCCTCATGTTTTTTTGAATAAACATTTATTTTAAAAAATTGATGCTTTTTATTTTCTTAGGCAATCGCAACTAGTAATGTGTCTAGTTGATCTTAAATCAATAGTTTAAGATGAAATTATTATTATTCTACACCAACTGTTAACATACCTCCCGCAGAAAAAATGTGTTCAAGTAGTCCGTCTCCTAAAAAAAGAAAATTTCAAAATAAAGTCAGAATACATAGAGTGTGTCTTTACAATTCCATATTGGAATTAGATTGTTGAGTGGGTTTCTTTTTATTAACTGTGTTTTGCAGCCACTGTTAAATTTTTTAAAATTGTTTTTAATGTTTACTATTTTTGAGAGAGAGAGAGAGAGAGAGAGAGAGAGTGAGCAGAGGAGGGGCAGAGATAGAGGGAGACACAGAATCTGAACCAGACTCCAGGCTCTGAGCTGTCAGCACAGAGGCTGATCCAGGGCTTGAATTCACGAACTGCCAGATTGTGACCTGAGCTGAAGTCCAACGCTTAACCGTCTGAGCCACCCAGGGGCCCTGCTACTATTCAATCTGAAGCAGTTAGCTAGTAAAATTTATGAAGTAATGTGTCAATATTAACAGTAGTAATTTCAGTATCTACTTTCAAGCACTTATCGACTTATATCAAAAGCAGTGCATTTTCAAAAATATGTAAAAATGGTGAGGAAAAAGGAGACACAGTGAGCCATTGCCCCACACGAACTGTAGCTCATCCCCAAGAGAGGTCATGTTGCTATGAGTTTTCCAGATTTATACCACAGTCACCATCTGGATCCAAATCCTTACTGTGTCTCATTTGAGCTTTTATCAACGGTTGCACCGGATTCCCTATCTGCAGAAGTTTCTAGTAATGTTGCCTTAATGCACCACCAGAGTTAACCTGATGAGTCCACATCTTACATTTCTTTCTCTGCTGTCTCCAATGCCACTTTAAATCATGAAGCCATATGACTACTACAGCCTCACAATTTTCTTGAATTTAGTTGTTACAAATAACATTATACCTTATTGTGTCACATACTCAGGGACTTGGTTATATTTGATCATTCCTTAGAAGGTATATTTAAAGGTTATTTGGGGCTTGTCTTCTCTTTCTTCATGATAGTTGGTGGTTGTGGTTGGTGTATGAGCTCTGGAGCAAAACAAATGGGGTTTCAGTCATAAGAATCTCTTTTACTAGTTGTGTGACCTTGGACAAGTTACTTAATTTCTTTGTGCTTTAATAATTTCTTGGGCAAAGGAAGATCATAACACCTGTCTCTCTGGATTCTGCAAAGATAAAATTCTGGATGTCTGCAAAGATAAAATTAGATAATGCATGGGAACACTTACAATCCCCCACCATGCTAGCCATTATTTTTAGGATTCAGGGCATATAGCACTGGGTGTCTATATTTGACCTTTAAATGCTTTCCAGTTTGACACCATCATGTTGGCTTCACATTGAAGTCACTTTGAAAATTAGATTGTCTCACTGAATGCAGAAGCCTAATAATTAGTTCCAAGCACTTAGCCTAATTTTCCTCTCCTAGTCTCTGTTCTTAAAATCTGCTGCTTCCATTTATCTCAGTGTTATTTTCTCAATGTTTTGATTAGCTAATGATCCTGCAGCCACTCTTAAGTTTTTTCTGAGCCTTAGAAAAAAAATCTAGAGTATCTTGCCTAAATCCCACCTGCAAAAGACACTTTCCCTTTCTGCATTCAGCCAGCTCTTGTGAAGTCATCTTCTTTTTCCTAGAAAAATAACCGGAGGGGTGTCTGGGTGGCTCAGTCAGTTAAACATCCAACTCTTGATCGTGAGATTGAGCCCTGGGTCAGGTTCCATGCTGAGAGTGGAGCCTGCAAAAAAGAGAACAGAATGGAAGGGAAGGGAAGGGGAGGGGAGGGGAGAGGAGAGGAGAGGAAAGAAGGAAAGAAAGGGAAAGAAAAAAGAAAATAGAAAAGACAAGAAAAGACAAGAAAAGACAAGAAAAGAAAAGAAAAGAAAAGAAAAGAAAAGAAAAGAAAAAAGAAAAGAAAAGAAAAGAAAAGAAAAGAAAAGAAAAATAACCAGACATAGTGAATGCCACCTGACTACCCTTTTCTCAGCACTCAGCCTGGCTTAAGAGTTCTCATTTACTAGGCAATTATGCTATGTCAGGCTTGGGATGAAGCAATTTTGCCTACGTTTTCTTATTTGATCTTTAGAGAAATACTGTAAGATGAATGTTATGGGCCTATTTTAAAATTCAGGGGACAGAAACCCCTTAGGGAAATTCACTCAGGGTCAACAGCTGGGACAGCTGAACACTGCTTGGTTTGACCACAGACCATCCTCACCACTGCACCGTGAGATCCCTTTTACCTGTGTGCACCATTTTGTGGTCGCATTCAGCATTTATTCACTCTGATAGATTGTTTTAATTTTTTTTATCCCACAGTAGTATTTCTGGCAGGTATTCCAGAAGTGAGAACTCCTCTGGAATAGGGATTGCATCTACTTAGCTTCTGTTTCTCAGTGTTTGTCACAGTTTTGCCACAGTGACAAGTCTAATGAGATAGAGTTGCATCAGAACAATGACTCCAAAGTAACTATTTTAAAATATGAACAAAACCTGTTTTTTCGTTGTCTCTTCTTTGTTTTTGTTTCTTAAATTCCACCTATGAGTAAAATTATATGGTACTTGTTTTTCTCTGGCTGACTTATTTCACTTAGCCTTATACCTTCTAAATCCACTCATGTTGTAAATGTCAAGATTTCACTCTTTTTTATGGCTGAGTAATATTTCATTGTGTATGTATACTACATCTTCTTTATCCATTCACCTATGGATGGACACTGGTTGCTTCCATTTCTTGGATGTTGTAATTAATGCTGCAATAAACATAGGGGTGCACATATATTTTCAAATTAGTGTTTTGATTTTCTTTGGGTAAATATTCAGTAGTGGAATTGCTGGATCATATGGTATTTTGATTTCTATTTTTTTGAGGAAGCTCTATGCCGTTTTTCACAGTGGCAACACCAGCTTGCATTTCCACAAAGAGTGAAATAGGTGAAGGGATAAGAGTACACTTCTTGTGATCAGTAATCACTTCTTGTGATTAGTTTCAGACCTGAAACTAATATCCTACTATATGTTAATTACACCTGAATTAAAACAAATTAATGAACAAACTTTGTTCCCCATCTGAGAGATACTGGTGTATAGTAACTAAAAATTCTTGTCTTATTTTCTTACCATGAATGTTGAATGGTAAGGCCTCTGTGGTAACCACATCTGTATAAAACAGAAGTTAAGAAAAAGATCAGAAATAAGGTGACTGAGTGGACTCCAGAACATATCGTAAAATAAAAATTTATTCCATGTCTCTCCCAGTGGCAGCTCTGGAATTTCTACATCAGGGCTTTACAGCTGAGGAAAATGTATCTTTATTTCCTCATGTGTGAAATGATAAAACCTGCCTCAAAATATTATAAGGACTAAATTAGTTTAGTGTGTGTGTGTGTGTGTGTGTGTGTGTGTATGTGTACACACATTAACAGAGTACTTGGCACATAATGAGCTTTAAATACATGTTGGTTATTATTGGTATTATTCTTATAAAGAGGGGAAAGACTGGAAGCTGTTTTTGCACAGTATTTTCCATAACTTTGAAAAATTGTTGAAAGGGGGAGAATCGTGATGATTACATAGGACGAAAGTTCTGCCTCATGCCTCCCTGTCTCCACCTCCTTGGTCCAATTCTACTTTCCTGGTAAAAATTAAAACAAAGGCATGACCGAATTCAGTTTTCTTCTTGCTTGATAGAGGGTGAGTCAATTCTTTTTTCTCTTTCAAAAGTAGCGTTTCAGAGTTGTAATAGAATTGTAGGAAATGCTGGCTCCAGTCTGAGGTGACTGGCTGAGGACGTGGATAACCAAGTGATGTAATAAATTCTAGGCCATGGTTATTCTTTAGAATAAACATAAGCACGCAAATATATTCTCATATGTCCTTTTAAAATCTCATGAAATGCATTATAAATTGTTTTTTAACATTAAACAATTATACTTTTAAACTTTATAAATGTAAAATTATGAATTGTTTTATCAAGTTTGATAAATTAAATAGGATTTTTTATTGCAAAAATAATCTAGGTTCAATGAAGAAAAGTTGGGAAATGTGAGGAAAGCAAGAACAATATAAAAATCATCCATTATCAAACCACCCAGAGATGGGCACTTTAAACATTTTTGGTATATAGCCATTTGAACTTTTAGCTACTGCATCTAAATACAGGATCGTTGTGTTTTAAGTATGTATAAATATGTACATAGTGTTTAAAATATTATACCACAGACATGCACCGTATGCCACAGATTATTCTTCTATGACAAGATTTTTAATGGCTGTATACAATTCCATTGTATGAATGTACCATTGTTCAGTCATTAATCACTGACTTTGAGCATTTCTGTTATTTATGCTTATGAGAGTTATAAATCATTCTTAGATAAATATCAGTGAACTAAACTCTGTGGATGTATCTCTGCTTATACCTTTGAAACTTTCTAGTGAGAGAAATGGGGCCCAACCACAATGAAGAGTGAGTGGAAAAGTGCCTCCAGACGTTCCCCAGAGAGTGTCACTTTGGCGCTTCAGCTAAATGCTCAAGGTTTCCTGGGGAATCTACAAAGAATTGAAAATGTCTGACATTTCTGGTCAGTCTACTCAAGGTCAGAGTACCAAGACCTGCCTCTTCCTACCAGCTGCCAGCTAATCCTTACCCCCAAATTGTGCAGGCAGGAAACATTATCCCCAAACTGTTTTCTGCAATGTTTTCCCCTCTTTTATAAATCCTATTTTCACCATGTTCTTCAACTTGGTCCAACCACCTGATTCATCACATGTATTTAAAAAAACTGCTGTACAGATTCACTACATACGATAAATGAAATACACCTCTAAGTTAATCTTCAACTCGCAGGTGTGATGATTTAAAAGATAATATAAGAAAAAACATTTTAAAACAATAACCTGGTGATGGTATTTGAAGTTCCAGCAAATATTAAGATCAAAATTATGGAAAGAAATATTTTTATTGAGGATCAATGAAAGTGTGTAAAAATTATAAAAAAGGATAACTAATGAACGAACTTATCTATAGCTCTTAGTTAATGTTACATCTCCTTTATACCCTTCAGTTCAGTATAATTATTTACATGTAGGGCATTAATTTATAATTGCTTTAGGATACCAAATAGATTCTTTTGAGATGTAAAACTTGTTTCCAGGGCTGCTGGTTCCCAGGGCTAGCTCATTTTGAATTCCCTCAGCATTAGAAGAGTGCTTTGTACATAATAGGTATTCAGTGAAATACTAATAGTTATACAGTTTTTGGCCAATTTCTTATAGAGAAACAACTAGGTGAGTTTCCAGATTGCATCTAAAATGAACATAAGAAGGAAGTAAATAAGCCCTACTCAAAGTGGCAGGTACAGAATGAGTGCAAGAATATTTGAAAAACACGCATTCACAGAAGACCAACAAAATACTTTAAACATTTCAATAACATTCACATATTTTAAGCCCAAGAAAAAAAATCTAAAAGTGAGAAAGAAAACAAACCACACCCAAATTTTTAAGGGTTAAAAGTGTTAAAATGCTAAAACTTTAACCGAAGCCAGTGAGGAGTTTTCACTGTGAGCACAAATATGCCCCTCCTCCAGGCTTCCTAAGTCTTCTGCAGGACATCAGGGACTGCAGGAGTCTGGGGCCAGTGAGGGAGGTGTGCTCAGTCTAAGGGCCACGGACCCCCTCCTCTTTATGTACACCTATAAGGCCTTGTGTGATCCAGCACCCGCCCCCCTTTTCTCCACACCTCATTGCTTGCCCCCAACGTTCTCTCTTCAGGCACAAGCCACACTAAGACGCCTCTTGGTTCCTGAAATGTCCTGTACTCTTTCGATGCCCACACCTTTGTGCTTCCTCTTCCCTTTGCCAGAAATATCCCTTCCCAGCCTCGTCTTGCCTAGTTATCTGCTTTTCAGGTCTCAGTTTAATACCATTTCCTTTTGGAGGTCCTTTCTTATTTTCCCTACCTAGACCACAAACTCTACCAACTCTCCAGGGTTTGGCATGGTGTGGTAGAGTCCCAGTGAAACCTTATGATTGACTATTTGTAATCCAGATCTGTCTTACCAGGGCCATCATGGTTACAGGGAACCTTGGGTATTCATTCATTTATACATTAATTTACAAAAGTGTTTTAGCATGTTTACAAAGAACACAACAAACAAACCAACAAACGAATAATTCATGGTCTTCACAGCAAGGAAATTCCAGTTTAGTAAAGAAATCCAAAGATTTAACCCATGTATAATAAGGTGTCTTAGGGTGGTGGGGAAGTGGGAGCACAAAGGAGACTATGGTCAATTCTCTGGGAAGGAGGAGAAGGTGGAAAGGAACACCTCCATGAGGTGTTCTCCTCTTGAGAGAACTCTAGGATTTTGACTGTGTGGCTATTTAGGTATAGAGTCGTTAGTGTCAGCAATGTGTTGGAATTTGATACTATTAAGGGAACTGCAAGTATCTATGCCACTGCAGCACAAGATGTGAAGAGACCAATGCAGCAAACAAGGGAAACAGCTGAAGAGGTAGTGAAGTGCGATGTGGTGTGGGCTGTGGTAGGGAATTTGGACTATATCCTTAAAGCAGTGGAAAGACCATAAAGGGTTTGAACCAAATTTTCATTTGGGGAAGATCACTGTCAATAGCAGGCTGGATGATGTGGGGAAAAAAAAGCATGCCCAGAACTCATCTTAAGAGGATCCCACCTTGTGTTCAGTAGTGGCCAAGATAAGCAGTCCCCTGGGAACCCAGCCACACCTCCTCACAGAGCTTCCTTATCACTACTTGGCATTGCTTTTGGTGGAGAAGGCCTGTAGTCTAAAGGCTTAAAGGAGGAGAAAATTACAGCAAGTTGTAAAAAAATATGGCAAAGACCCAACAATAGTACCTAACATTTCTTTTTTTTTTTAATTTTTTTTTTCCAACGTTTATTTATTTATGGGACAGAGAGAGGCAGAGCATGAACGGGGGAGGGGCAGAGAGAGAGGGAGACACAGAATCGGAAACAGGCTCCAGGCTCTGAGCCATCAGCCCAGAGCCCGACGCGGGGCTCGAACTCGCGGACCGCGAGATCGTGACCTGGATGAAGTCGGACGCTTAACCGACTACGCCACCCAGGCGCCCCTCTAACATTTCTTAAAACTGGTACATTAGTGCTCTGAATTTTAAACAAAGTCAGAGGAGGAGAAAAAAGTATTTTAAATGTATAAGCAAAGTACATGTAACTTTTAAAAACTTTTTGATATTGACATGAGAAGATGCTTAGGGAAAGAGACCTCGTCAGAATAAGTCTTGAACTTTATCAAAACCATTTTAATTCTCTAGCAAATAGACTTTTTTTTTCTTTTCCAACAGCTATTTCTCAGAGGAAAGGAGAGTTTAGTGGAAATTTTGTTCCGAAGAAGTAGAGGCTGAAGCCCAAAGCTCCAAATTGTAGTCAGAGCTCAGGAACATCTAACGTCAAAGGCAACACATTGTTTAGAGGAACAAAGTCCTTGAGGCAATTTCCAAAAATTGCATATACTTTATTCAAGTCCCAATTGTGAATGTTGTGTTGTACTTGCACCCTTACAAAACCTGAATGGTGGCCAAATTGATTTGAGGCTAAAAATTTCCAGTTATGTTCTTAGAAATACCTGCTTTAATTCTCCAGATTTAGTTGTTTTGATGCAATTTCTTACCACAGTCACCTAAAGTCACCAACACAGTAAGTAAATACTTACAGTAAATAAATAAACAAATGTCTTAAGAGCAACTTAATAAAAAATGCTTTTAAACTTCTTTTGCTCAATAATCAAATATCTGGAGCTGATCTATAAAATGATCTTTGTCACGGTTTTCCTTCCATTTTCAGAAAGAAAAATAGATTATCTTGTAAATATTTCAATAGTAGCTAATACTTGTGCTTGCTTAGCAGTATGAAGAGGACTCAGATATCTGTTACTAAAATACATAGTTTGCAAAAAAAAATGTCAGCTTGAAAGAAAAATAGCTCTACTCACTCACATAAATTTTTATATTTTCTAGTACTTAGTTAAATTTTACAGAACTTGCTGGTTATTCTAAGATAGATTCACATGGGACAAATTGAATAATTTTATCAAACACTTCAAATTAAATAAACTAGCCCCTGGTTGAAAATGTCACCTAGGAGAAACAAAAGAAGT